ATTAATTTGTGGGTTTAAGCATACTTAATGTTCTTCAGTGTGCTTCAGTTATTGCTTTTATTGATGCTTAGATTGTCCCATTTTTAAGAGTGGGAGCTTCTTCAAGTTGGCCTGTAATCAGTTGGCATGACCTCAGAAATCTTTGAGACCTGCCTTGCTTTCTAGTCTGATAAAATGTTCCTGGGTCATTTTGTACATTTCATACTCCAGACATGAAATCACTATGGCTGCTGTTGAGTCATGTTGGGTCGTAGTTTCCAGGACTTTTCAGTAGTCAGATTTCAGAAATCTATGTGTAGATATACAAAGATAGATGCACAGTTGGCCTTCTGTGTCTGCATGCATTCACAGATTCAACCAACTGCAGACAGAATACACTGGGAACAAAACTAGATATTTACTGAACACATATAGATTTTTTTAAAAGCTCATCATTCTTCTCTAAACAATACAAGAGAACAACTATTTATGCAGCATTCACTTCACATTAAACATTATAATTAATCTAAGGATGATCTAAAGTATATAGGAGGTATGCATATGTTATATGCAAATACTATACAATTTTATATAAGGGATTTTTTTTTTGACTGGCAGAGTTAGACAGTGAGAGAGAGACACACACAGAGAGAAAGGTCTTCCTTCCGTTGGTTCACTCCCCAAATGGCCGCTACAGCCGGCGCACTTCGCTGATCCGAAGCCAGGAGCCAGGTGCTTCTCCTGGTCTCCCATGTGGGTACAGGCACCCAAGCACTTGGGCCATCCTCCACTGCCTTCCCGGGCCACAGCAGAGAGCTGGACTGGAAGAGGGGCAACTGGGACAGAATCCGGCGCTCCAACCAGGACTAGAACCTGGAGTGCTGGCACCTCAGGTGGAGGATTAGCCAAGTGAGCCGCAGTGCTGGCCAGTATATATAAGGGTTTCAAGCATCCTGGATTTTGGTATCTGCAGTGATCCTGGAACCAAACCCCTGTGGTTATTGAGGGGCGACTATAGCTGTAGGTATATATACACAGAGATAAACATAAAGGTAGACATAGACATGGCTATAGATATACAAAGGTACTTCAAAAAGGTCATGTAAAAATAAAATTAAATAAGCTCCTTGTGTTATAGAGCAGTAAGGTGACTATACTTCACAACAACCTATCATGTTTTTTAGGAGTAAATAGAAAAAAAGAAGCTGCAAGTCTCCAATCGTTTTTTTTTTCTTTTTTTTAAGATTATTTATTTATTTGAGAGGTAGAGTTATAGACAGTGAGAGGGAGAGACAGAAAGAAAGATCTTCCTTCCATTGGGTCACTCCCCAAATGGCTGCAATGGCCAGAGCCATGCCAATCCAAAGTCAGGAGCCAGGAGCTTCTTCCGGGTCTCCCACATGGGTGCAGGGGACCAAGGACTTGGGCCATCCTCTACTGCTTTCCCAGGCCATAACAGAGAGCTGGATTGGAAGAGCAGCAGCCGGGACTCGAACTGGCGCCCATATGGGATGTCAGCACCACAGGCAGAGGATTAACATAATGCACATGGCGCCAGCCCCATCTCCAATCTTTTTTTTTTTTTTTTTTTGACAGGCAGAGTGGACAGTGAGAGAGAGAGACAGAGAGAAAGGTCCTTCTTTGCCGTTGGTTCACCCTCCAATGGCCGCCATGGCCGGCGCACTGCGGCCAGCGCATCGCGCTGATCCGAAGGCAGGAGCCAGGTGCTTCTCCTGATCTCCCGTGGGGTGCAGGGCCCAAGCACTTGAGCCATCCTCCACTGCACTCCCTACCCACAGCAAAGAGCTGGCCTGGAAGAGGGGCAACCGGGACAGAATCCGGCTCCCCGAACGGGACTAGAACCCGGTGTGCCGGCGCCACAGGCGGAGGATTAGCCTAGTGAGCCGTGGCGCCGGCCTCCAATCTTAAAGTAGTATCAAGGAACGGGAAATATAGATTGCCCTGATTTGCTCCGTACACATCATATATATGTGTTGAAATGTTGCACTCTCCATAAGTATGTACAATCATTAATTTAAAAAAAATTTTCAAAATATAACACATATTTTTCATGAACTATTTAAAGATCCCTTATATACACAGATACCTATTTTTAAGAGAAAATACAGTATAAATTAATGCTTATATTTTCAGGTCAAGTAAGTTTTTATTGAATTGTTTGATTTTTTTGTGTGTGTGTTAACAGATAGATTTATTAGTATGTCACTGTAGACATTACATAAATACAGCTTACATACAAGAATATCAAACATTATTCCTGTAAGAAGTTCAAGAATACATTATGGGGGCCGGCGCCGCGGCTCACTAGGCTAATCCTCCGCCTAGCGGCGCCGGCACACCGGGTTCTAGTCCCGGTCGGGGCACCGGATTCTGTCCCGGTTGCCCCTCTTCCAGGCCAGCTCTCTGCTGTGGCCCGGGAGTGCAGTGGAGGATGGCCCAGGTGCTTGGGCCCTGCACCCCATGGGAGACCAGGAAAAGCACCTGGCTCCTGGCTCCTGCCATCGGATCAGCGCGGTGCGCCGGCCGCAGCGCGCCAGCCGCGGCGGCCATTGGAGAGTGAACCAACGGCAAAGGAAGACCTTTCTCTCTGTCTCTCTCTCTCACTGTCCACTCTGCCTGTCAAAAAAAAAAAAAAAAAAAAAAAAAAAAAAAAAAAGAATACATTATGGGATATTTTGAGAAATATGAATATTTTGGCTTCCATGATTAGGTCCAGTGAAAGAAAGTGGATTCAAAGAACAGTGTTTATCTCCTGCTATGATTAACAATGAAATCAAGTAGAAAAATAAGAGTATTTTTAAAAAACCTCCTCAAGTGCTTTTTGAAGGACTAGTTCTCTTCATTACCATACATACTCATACAAATTTCTCAGTGAGCAAAAGGGAAGTAGTTCTTCAGAAACTCAGGATCTGCTGATTGAATGAACTGGATTAATGGATATGGATCTACTACATCAATTTGTGTTTTTTTAAAAAATGAATTATTTTTTAAGTAAGAGCAATAGTTAACACACTGAGTCTTATTTTGTCCAGCTCATAAGCCTACAGAACAGTGATTGTCACAAATACTACCCATCATAGCCAGTAATCCAGTTAATGTGCATTCAACCCAGTAAGAAAAGTTCGACCATGTTGCAGAGCTGATTCTAACATAATAATTCTCTAGGCATTTGTCGCTTGTGATACAGTAAAGAAAAGGAAGTTGCGACTTCTAGGTTGAATTATTTGATTTTATAGTTGTATCTCTTTTCTCTTCCACTGTAATCTTCTGAGTTCCCAACATCAGTAAAATAATTCTGTATTTCTTATCCTATTATCACACTATTAGTTTTGATATCATTACTAACAATATAATTACAGACAGCAGTTTAAGATTTGGTTATGGCCATTGTTTTGTTTTAAGGATGATACCTCTAGGAAGGTACAGTTACATTATTGTATTTCAAGTGAACTTGAAATAATGTGTCTTTGAAGGTTATATTACCAATTTGATGCACAGGTTTATTTGCAATTTACTTTGTGATTTTTAAATTGTTTACAAATAAATGTTTACATGATTCTAAAGTAAAATCTACAAAATGATATATATTTGGAGAAGCGCAACTGCTATTCCTGTCCCCTGCATCCTATTCTGTTTCTTTTCTTTCTTGTATGCTGACTATATCTATTTTGTTTATATTTATATGTACATCTCTGGAGAGTATGTTCCACACCCTAAGGCTGAGGGATGCAGGTTCTTGTCTTGACAGAAGAAAAAATTCAAGGGTGAGATACATATAAAGTTTAGAAAAAAGTACACATTCAAGAGGGAGTGTGGGCATGCTGTAGGTGAGCTGTAACCCATCAGGTTTAGAAGCATCCCTTTATAGGATCTGGAGGCATAGCGGGTGGTGCTTGGGCAGTTTTCCAGGAAAGGATGGAGATTTCCAGGAATTTCACAACTGCCCATTTTCTGGCCCTTTAAGCAGTCTCAGACGTGTCCTCATGTCAGGTGCATGATGGGAGTCAGAGAATCAACCATGGCAATTTTATTATAATGATATTACAATAGGCTATAGGTTATCACAGTGATGTGATCAGCAGCCTTTTTGGATATTTTCTGCCAATGCCAGTTCCAGGCAATGAAGTTGAAAGCCATAGGAAGAAGGTAAAATATTTACTCCAACTTTTTCTTTTTTTAAAAACAGCTTTATTTGCTTATTTATTTTAAGGACATATTGACACACAGAGAAGGCAAGGCAGAGAGAGAAAAAGACATCTTCCAGCCTCTGGTACACTCCCCATCTGCCCACAACTGATAGATTGGACCCTGCTGGAGCCAGGATCCAGGAACTCCATTCAGGTTTTCCATGTGGATGGCAGCAACCAAGTACTTGAGCCATCTTCTGTTGGTTTCCCAGGCATATTAGCAAGGAACTGGTTCAAAACCAGAGTAGCTAGGACTTGAACCAGCACATCAATATAGGATGCTGGTGTCATAGGCCTTGATTTAACTTGCTGTGCCATAGCACCAGTCCCCAGCTTTTTGTGATCTCTGATTGACTCCTTAATTTCTGATTGACTCCTTATCTATACTTTCCTATCACCAATAAATTATAGCATACTGAGGCCAATGCTGTGGCTTTAGTGGGTTAAGCCTCCTCCTGCAGCACAGTCATCCCATATGGGTGCTGGTTCGAGTCCTGGCTGTTCTTCTTCCGATCCAGCTCTCTGGTATGGCCTGGGAAAACAGTGGAACATGGCCCAAGTGCTTGGGCCCCTGCACCCACATGGGAGACCCGGAAGAAGCTCCTGGCTCCTGGCTTCGGATCGGCACAGCGCAGGCCATTGCAGCTAATTGGGGAGTGAACCAGCAGATGGAAGACCTCTCTTTCTGTCTCTCCCTCTCACTGTCTATAACTCTACTTCTAATGTAAATAAATAAATAAATAAATAAATCTTTTTTTTAAGATTTTTTATTTATTTGACAGAATTACAGACAGTGAAAGAGAGAGAGCCAGAGAGAAAGGTCTTCCTTCCGTTGGTTCACTCCCCAAATGACCTCAACGGATGGAGCTGCGCCGATTCGAAGCCAGGAGCCAGGTGCTTTTTCCTGGTCTCCCACGTGGGTGCAGGGGCCCAAGCACCTGGGCCATCTTCTACTGCTTTCCCAGGCCACAGCAGAGAGCTGGATTAGAAGAGGAGCAACCGGGACTAGAACTGGCGCCCATATTGGATGCCGGCACCGCAGGCAGAGGATTAACCTAGTGCGCCACAGCGTTGGCCCCCAATAAATAAATCTTTAAAAAATTGTAGCATACTATGCATACTTTTTCACATCTTCCTTTTTCTAATTAAAAACGTATCCTACCAAGATGGCAGACCTACTAGGCTCCATCCTGAGGTCCATGAAGAAGCCACTCAGCCTTGAGGAACAGGAAACCCGGTGCAAGGCCAGGGCCTGACACCTCGCAGAGGACATCAGACTTCTTTGAAGCCTGACACCCTCCCCACCCATGCTTCCAGCCCTGACCTCACGCTGCCATTTCCCAGCCCCAGAGCAGGCTGCCCACCTAAAGAAACTACAAGAGCAAGAGAAACAGGAGTTTCATAAAAGGATGGAGAAAGAGCTGTCAGATTTCATCCAAGACAGTAGGCAAATCAAGAAAAAGTCTCAGCCAATGAACAAGATAGAGAGGACCACACCACAAGATGTGGTGGAAGTGGCTGGCCTGACGTCCTTCTCCTGCAGGGAAGATGATGACAGTTGCGATGCCATGATCTTCAAAAAGGAGTCCGCACCCTCAGATGAAGAGCTGGACTCCGACCGCTGCACGGAGGATTGGGATCTCCAGAAAGTGGAGGATAAACAGAAGCGGAAGGAGCTGGCCCAGTGGGAGGAGGAGGAAGAGGCGGTTCAGTGGGGACCTGTGGTGGTGAACCCTGGCAGTGGCTACAAAGACAAGTACAGCCACCTCATTGGCAAGGGAGCAGCCAAGGACGCGGCCCACATGCTACAGGCCGACAAGAGGGACACGCACTGCATTGATGAGATCCCAAGCCAAGAAGCCCCTGGAGCAGAATGAGGAAGAGTTGCTACCTACCTCCTAGGCACCCCACCCAGCTCCCTTGGACCTCTGGGGCAGGATGGGGGACAGAGAGGGATAAGGCTGCTGCAGTTAGAATCCATCCTGGAGTCCTCACCTCTGCACCACTGGCGTGGGGGGAGCAGGTGTTTAATTTGTTGCAGTTGAAGCTTGCATATGTCTGTGATGTGGTGTGTGTGTGTGTGTGTGTGTGTGTTAGACAGAGAGAGAGAGAGAGAGAATACACATGTGGGATTTTAATCTGTATTATTTTCTTCCCTTTGGGGCTGAGGTTACTTTACATTCAATAAATGCTGTTGGGAGGGGAGTGGGTGGGAGGGCAGGTGTGGTGGGAAGAATTACTATGTCCTAATGTTGTATTTATGAGATATGTACAAATAAAAAATAAAGTGAAAAAGTAAATAAACACTGTTTGACACCCCCCCCCAAAAAATATATCCTAAATCATTTTACAGTGGCAAATGAGGATATCCCTTATCCTTTCCTCAGTTCATTCAATGGATATATTCATTGGATATAACATAGTTAAACTCAACCTATGCCATATTTTTGGATGTTCATGTTTTTACACTCTATGCCTTACACATATCTTTTCATACTTCTTTAGTGTTTATTTGTGATATGTTCTTGGAACTAGGATTATGGAACAAAATACTAAATATGAAGGTACAAAAAGTTCATGGAAAATAGAATTGAAAGAAATTGTTTGGGTGCAAAAATTTTTTGTATTTTTATTTATTTATTTATTATTTATTTTATTTTTTGACAGGCAGAGTGGACAGTGAGAGAGAGAGAGAGAGACAGAGCAAAAGGTCTTCCTTTGCTGTTGGTTCACCCTCCAATGGCTGCCGCGGCCGGCGTACAGCGCTGATCCGATGGCAGGAGCCAGGTACTTATCCTGGTCTCCCATGGGGTGCAGGGCCCAAGTACTCGGGCCATCCTCCACTGCACTCCCGGGCCACAGCAGAGAGCTGGCCTGGAAGAGGGGCAACCAGGACAAAATCCGGCGCCCCGGCTGGGACTAGAACCCGGTGTGCCGGCGCCACAAGGCAGAGGATTAGCCTATTGAGCCACGGCGCTGGCTCGCAAAAATTTTTTTATAACCCAGTCATACAATGAATCTTTAAAACATTCTTGAGAAATATGTATTGTGAAAAACTTATATGTTCTGCTTTCCCAGGCACATTAGCAGGGAGTTGATTGGAAGTGGAGCAACTGGGACTCGTACCTGTGCTCTTATTGGATGGCCACACTGCAGGTGATGGCTTAACTTGTTACGCAACGGTGCCAGCCCCCCACAAACTTTTTAAATACTTTGTTTATTTTAATCTACTGAGAGAGAGAGAGACAGACAGAAACTCTCGTCCACTGATTCACTCCCCAAATGCCCACAACAGCCAAGATGGGTCCAGGCCAAATCCATGAGCCTAGATCTCCATCCAGGTGGATGGCAGAGCCCAACCACTTGAGCCATCATCTGCTGCCTCCCAGGGTGCATCCAACAGAATCCGGATAGGAAGTTGAATAAGCAGGTCTCAAACTGGCACTCTTATATGATGTAGGTGTCCCAAATGTTGTGGGAAGCGACTGATGGAGGCCGGTGTTACAGGTGATGAAGGAATTCAGCAGTAGTCCGAGAGAGTGTGAGCAGAGTTAAATTTACTAAATGTACCTCAAGGGAGCAACAGGTAGTCAAGAATAGCTTGTGGCTAGCTGGCTGCTGCTGTGTGATGCAAGGGAGTAGCACGGCCAGGCGGACACCTCGAGGTTGGCATCTGCTGTCATAGGCTGCAAGGGAGCAGCCCCGGGTGAGCAGGACAGCTGGCAGCTGACAACCGCAGCAGCGTGGATTATAATCTGGAGGATACAGACCTGAGGCAGACTGCTGCTGGCTCGGGCATTTTCCATCACTGGTGTTTTCCTTATTGCTGGGGATTTTCACTAGGGACTTCCTTATTGCCAGGGGCCATGGGACCTCCACAACCAAGCAGCAGCTTAAACCACTGTTTCACCACCCCTACCCCATTTGAGGTACTCTTGTACACACGTAGTTTTGTTTCATCTTATCAAATTTCTCCCCAACACGGTTGTAGCATCTTATATTGTGACCAGCAATATTTGAGAGTACCTGTTTTCCTACTGCTTCACCAAGTCAGATAGCTAGGAAATTATATTCCAGTGTGGCTTTGATGTGTATTTCTTTTTTTCTTGTATTTTGAGTGAGGCAGGGCATCTTTTCATATAGTTAAGGATAATTAACATTTCTTTTTATTTCAATGCTCCTGATTTTGCCTGTTCATTTTATGTAATGTTGACCTTTCCCTTGTGTGTTTTAGAAGGTCTTTTTTCTTAACATTAATTTTACGGAAGCAGTTTCAGATATACAGTGAAGTTAAAAGTTTATAGTGAGCTTTAACTTACTCATGTAGATCCTACTATTTACATTTACTGGGGCCGATGCTTCAAAATAAAGGACAAATGAAATGACAAAAAAAAAAAAAAAAAAGACAAACTGGAGAAACAATTTAAAAACTTAGCTATCTGAGGTCCACACTGTGACGTAGTAGGCTAAGCCTCTGCCTGCAGTGCCGGCATGCCATATGAGCACAGGTTCGAGCCCTGGCTGCTCCTCTTCCTATCCAGCTCACCGCTTATGGCCTGGGAAAGCAATGGAGGATGGCCTAAGTGTCATCTTCTTATCAATACGCTTCCCCTGATAGTTGCTTTTTTTTTTAAGATTTATTTATTTATTTGAAAGGCAGAGTTACACAGAGAAAGGAGAGGCAGAGAGAGAGAGAGAGAGAGAGAGAGAGAGAGAGAGGTCTTCCATCCTCTGGTTCACTCCCCAGATGGCCGCAACGGCTGGAGTTGGGCCAGGCCAAAGTCAGGAGCCAGGAGCTTATTCCAGGTCTCCCACACAGGTGCAGGGGCCCAAGGACTTGGGCCATCTTCCACTGCTTTCCCAGGCCATAGCAGAGAGCTGGATCGGAAGAGGAGCAGCCGGGACTAGAACCGGCGCCCATATGGGATGCAGGCACTGCAGGCCAGGTCGTTTACCCGCTGTGCCACAGCGCCGGCCCCTGTTTTTTGTTTTTAATATTTCTTTATTTATTTGAAAAAGGCACAGTTACAGGTAGAAAGCAGGAGAGACAGAGAGAGGTCTTCCATCCACTGGTGCACTCCCCAAAAGACCTCAACAGCCGGAGCTGGGCTGATCCTAAGCCAGGAGCTAGGAGATTCTTCCCCTGGTCTCCCATGGGCCATTTTCCACTGCTTTCCCAGGCCATAGCAGAGAGCTGGACTAGAACCGGCGCCCATATGGGATGCTGGCATTGCAGGCAGAGGCTTTACCCACTATGCCACAGCGTGGACCCCAGATAATTAAGTTTTTTAACTGTTTCTCTAGTTTGTATTTTTTTTTCATTTGTCCTTTGTTTTGCTTTTTTCTTTTGCCAAACATAATTCTTTGTTTCTGCTAGTTAAAATGATCAGTCTTTCCCCTAATTGCTACTGGATTTTGAGGGTACAGTTTGAAAAGTTTTTCCCATTCCCAGGTTATGGAAGAATTTATCTGGCTGTTTCTGTTAGTGGCTATGTAACCTTTTAGTTGCCAGTTTTCTGATAAAAATTCCAAGTCTGGTTTCTATTTCTTTGGAAATTGAGAGCATAGTTGTTTTATGGCCTGTGTTTAATAGTTACAATATCCAGAGGATTTTTTGTGCGGCTCTATCTATGTTGGCTATTGTTGCTGCATGTATGTCTAACATTTTTGTTGTGTGCATGATTATCCGTGATTATGTGGTATATTTGTGGAAATACTTGTAAGTTGAGGTTACGAAAACACAGCATTCTTCCAGAGAGGTATTTTATTTGCTTCTGTCTGGTGCCTGGGGGCACCACCAGTCTGGGATTGCTTCGATTGAATTTCAAGAGTTGGTGATGCTAGACCAATCAGATGGCATAAAGCAGGCTGTAGACCCAATGGAGGAGTGGGTTTATTTCTCCTTTATGTTTTCCTTGTTAAAATCATGAATCCAGAGGCCATTAGAGTAAGGCAGCTCCAGGGCCCTTGGGCTCCTATACAAGCAAATGGAAACCCACTCAGGGCACAAAAGTTATCTTCTAGGAGAATGAAAGTTTAATCAATAATCACCAAGCATTTTCTAACTAGGAACTTTTCCCTCGAATGATCCAAATAAGGCTACTGCTTCATGTTAACCAGTCAATTATTTTCTTTGCCTTCCGTCATTCACCTTAAGAAAGAAACTGTGTTGCTACTTAGGAGGAGCCCTTGAACCACCTCCCTTATTCCTAGTGCATTGCTCAAATAAACTCTCATATTTTAAAGTGCTGAAGTTTATCTTTAAAAAAAGATTTATTTTAATTTTATTTGAAGGGCACAGTGATAGGGGAGGGAGAGACAGAGAGATCTTCCATCCCTGGTTCACTCCCCAGATGGCTGCAATGGCCAGGCCAAAAGCCAGGAGCCTGGGACTCTGTTCAGGTCTCTCATGTGGGTGCAGGGATCCAAGTACTTGGGCCATCCTCCACTGCTTTTCCAGGTGCATAAGCAGGGTGGTGGATCAGAAGTGAGCCAATATGGGATGCTGGTATCTCAAGCAGCAGTTTAACCCTTTGTGCCACAAAGTGTCTCTCTCTCAAGATTTATTTATGTGAAAGGCAGAGTGTTTTTATAGAGAGGCAGAGGCAGAAAGAGAGAGAGAGGTCTTCCATCCATTGGTTCACTCCCCAGATAGCCGTAACGGCCAGAGCTGCGTTGATCCTAAGCCAGGAGCCAGGAGCTTCTTCTGGGTCTCCCACGTGGATGCAGGGGTCCAAGGACTTGAGTCATCTTCCACTGCTTTCCCAGGCCATAGCAGAGAGCTGGGTAGGAAGTGGAGCAGCTGGGACTCAAATCAGCACCCATATGGGATGCTGGCACTGTAGGCGGCAGCTTTACCTGCTATGCCACAGCTACTGCCCCAAAGTTTCTCTTTCAACACCCCTGCAGATGAAGTGCTTTGAAGATTAGGAAAGGCTTGTTAGATCTTAGGGGACCCTGCGCTTTGACTTTTGTCTCTTAACTAAACAAGAGTGCTGAGGTTGGCATTTGTTTATGTGGAATTAGCCAATGCCC